TTTTAAGGGGGGAAGAAATGTAACGCCCCAAAATATACCCTAGAATTATTAATGAATAAATAATCAATTAATCAAATTTGTTTTGATTAAAATAAATTATTGTTGGGCTTTGGGCCGATATGAAATTTGTTTTGACATCTAATATCAAAATCTAGATAAGTCTCATAGAGATAAATCCAATATGTGGACTATTTGTGTGGTCTCGATTGGGAACCTGAGTAGAGACCCAAATCAAGAGTAAATAAAGAATTTGTTTAGAATGTAAATATTGAAATGATTTGTTGAAATAAATCATGAGAATAATTGATATGAATTAAATGAGAGAACCTTTTATGAGAAAGGTCAATTAAACCAATTTTGACTCTGTTAAAGTCAACCACCCAAAAATGTGGTGTCGGAAAAAGTATAACGAATGAATATAAAAATTATATCGTTGTGTAGAGTTTGACTGTCTGACCCCAATGGTTCAATCGGATTTCAAATTGGAGAAAGTTGGACAAAAAAGTATACCCCGACTCGGACCAGATATTAGTCCCAATCAGGGACTACGTACCAAACGGCGCCCTGTTCAATTACGCCGATTCCAAAATCCGAATCACCGAGCAATCAAGGAAGCTGCAAACTCCCTGTCTTCTTCCTTCCTCACTTGGCTATTTAAGGACAACCCAACTCCCTCATTTCATCACCAAAACAACTCATTCTTCCTTCTATATTGTTCCTTGCTGAGAGTGGAGTGCAGTGGTGCTGTCATCTTTGTGTGAGGTCGCCGGAGCAGTGAGATAGAGTCGCCGGAGCAGTGAGATAGAGTCGCCGGAAGTTTCGTCGGAAAATATTCAAAACCTTCATTTACCTTCGATGTAAGCCCCTAGATATATCTAATGACTAGAATGTTCATATAGGTCATTTCTACGTTCATAAATGGTCATTTGGTTGAGTTTTGTGTTTGACATGTTTGAAGAACCAAGAATCATAAACCTTGAATTTGATGTTAAAAATATGTTTTAATAATTCTAATATGATCTATGTACCTTGGAGAACATCTCTATATAGTTTAATTGAAGTTCGGTGACTAAAAATGGTTTTCCCGAAAAATGGACCGAGGTTGAAGACGAATGAACAGTGGCTGAAAATCCACAGAGTGGATCGATCCCCTTCATTGGATCGATCCTCTGGGAGTTTTTCTTCTAGTTGGATCGATCTAGAGGACTGGATCGATCCCTCCGAAACTCTGGTCCGAAAATTTGTCTGAAATTGCTATTTTTGAGCTCTAAAATCCTATTTTTGATACCAATTGATTATAATTATTATAAAAAAAAATTTCACAACAAAAATGATGTTTTTAACAAATTAAAACATTATGTGATGCATGACGGTAAGTTCGGGTGTTAACACTCGAGACTAGGCCGCTAATTGTTATTAAATGTTATGTTGAATGATCATTATGATGAACTATTATTGTGGCCAATTATGAATGATTAACCTACTGATTAGTATGATTATTGATTAAATCATGATTAAAAATGGATATAATGATGATTATGAAAATGATGTATATTGTTAAGGATATCTAGAAGAACTCTAAGATATACACACTTGTATAATGATGATGATTATTAAGGAAATCTAGAAGAACTCTAAGATATACCTCCTTGACCAATTCATATTTCGGGGTTAAAACGTACGTACAGGATCCTGAACGGATATCACCCACCCGGCAGTTCACTGTTCGGTTGGTACGTAATCCACATGACTCATAGGGTGGATTATTGATTCTTGTGTTTTGCATTAAACTATTTATAGTTTAAGGGCCTGGTTAGAAATGTTGCCTTAGACTAAGAATAGTTAAGAGTTGTTATGAAATGATTTGGCCTTAGATTAAGAATAATTTAAGAGCATTGTTGAGATATTGAATATCAAATGACTTGGAATAAAATATTGAGAATATCATGAATGTTTGAATTATATATTGTGTGCATGATATCAAATGATTTGATTATGAATTTAGATTCAGTTTATATGGATGTTCGACGCATTAGATATGCTTACTCAGCTTCACCGCTGAGCGTGTAGTGTGTTTTATTTGCTACACGCAGGTAAACAGAAAGATTAATGTGATCCTGGCGGCAGATGGGGCGAGATTGTCGGGATGGATGTGACAAGTTTTAAAATGATTTATGATATGTAAATATTAAATTCGCTTCCGCAATATTGTTAAATACTCCGTACTGTATATGTTATGAAAAATATTATTGAGATTAATAAAGTGTGTTTGAAAAGTTTTAATTTTTACGATTACCAAGTTAAATACTTTAGTCCGAATGGGGCTGCAGACTTGGACGGATTAGGGTGTTACAGGATCGACCATCTAACCAAAAAGTTTAAGCTAATAGGTAGAGCTTCACAATTATATATATGCTAGTGGTATTCCATTACATTTTTCCAATGAGGAAACTCCAATATTGTTGAAGTGTGTAGTAATTGACCCTACATTTCTTGTCACCGACCCCAAGTAGTTGGGTTGTTTAGGGAATAAGTTGTTGACGATGAGTCGTAGTACTTGTTTCCTTTATCAACAGTAATGCACCGATTTTATGGAAGCAGGTGGTAAACCTTTGATGGTGGCAAAGAGTTGGAGGTGTTCCTGTCCTGACAACTCATTCTAGAGAATATCAAGCTGTATGTGAAAATTGGAAGATGGTCATCACCTAGAGCCTATATAGTTATTCAGTAGTTGAAAACACAAGAGAGAGAGAAAGTGAAAATAGACTTACCTGTGTACAAACACCAATCATCTGTCAAATATTTGACATGCCAGTTAAGCTGCAGATCGAGCATCCATATATTAATGTTGTGAAATGAAAACTAATTTTTATGGAGTTAACTGGCCATTAATCTCCAATTATTCGAGACTAGTATTAAATAGAGTGTAGCTTATTATTGACGTGATTATGAGTAATTATTGTCATTACTCACATCATTAGTATGGAGGTTACTCTACTAATGCCTTCCACCATTAATGTTATTATTAATGTTGTATTATGGTGGAGGTTACAAGTTTTGAAGTCTAGCCTATTACAAGGGAAAAACAAAACTCGCCCCCTAACCTCTTTTTTGGGTGCTCCATACGTGAGAGAGAAAAGGAAAAAGAAACGAAAAACCTTTTTTACTCTTAGAGAGAGCTCTTGGTTTTTCCGGTAGAATTTCTGGTGATGCTCTTCAAGTTTTTTGGTAGCTAACGTTCCACGTTGTTCTTGTTCGGTTGTGTGTGGTTGGTCCGTA